CTTCAATCAAAAGGCTCGAGTTGCGTTTCGAGACATCCGACGTTTCGGATGATGAAGAGGTATAAACCAAAGTACTAAATAAGAAATCACTGATGATGAAGAGACATAGACCTTCTTACTAAATAAGTCATTACTACATAAGACTGTTTTTCTCGCAATAATTGTACATTCAGCCCATACGCGTTCTTAATATCGGTTGGAGACCCCCCGCAAGCCAACGAATTCCACATGCCATAACAACTTGAGGAATGATTGGAGCTGTGCCAGATGATGCTGTACTTCTAGCACCATTTAGCACTATTTTGTCCCCCAATAATCCTTTTAAATTCATGAAAGAGGGATAACAGGACATGCGATATGTCCTATGAAACGAGTTCTGATACAACTCTTTCTGAAGATGTTCCTCCCAATTGACCCGTTCGGTTGGATACTTGGGTCTTCTTGTTTGTTGTTGTGTTAAATGCGCGAGAGCAAAAAATAAAGCAGTGCCGTAATCGTCATCAAGATCAAAATCGAGCATCTTGTTGTTGTTGTTTTGTTGATGTTGCGTGTCGCAGAAAAAATTGACCGCACCTTAGTGCATCTACATGTGTTTACTTAAAGAATTGTACGCAGGGCCGGTACTGCCGCAAAGGGCCGGTAATGCGGCACCGTTTTTGTTAGGAATGGTCGAATATGCACCAAATTCCGCCGTGGTGCAAATGAGACACGTGGTTCATTTTTGTTTTTTTGTTAAGAACGCCCCTGAGATGCTCCCACAAGCAGGGAAAAGAGATGCTGAATTGGCGACATCGAATCCAGATGAAAATGGTTTTGAGATGGAGTTGGATATCAAGGGTGATGGCGCCCAACATCCATCTGACCCATTTTCCAAAACGTCAGCAAAGCGAAAGATGTTAGGCACAAGCATCGATGCCCAGGCAACCAAACGCACAACCCAGGAAGAGACGGCAGCCAAGAAGCCAAAGACGACGAAGCAGCCAAAGACGCCAATGAAGCCACCAACTGCCCCCAAGCCGCCAACTGCGTCCGAGTCACCAACTGCCCTGGAGTCACCAGCTGCCCCAGCTACCCCAGAGTCACCAGCTGCCCCCAAGCCACCAACTGCCTCGGCCAAGAAGCCTAAGACTGGAAGCACTGACAGCAAATACTTCAAAAGGGGGGAAACTAGAACCTCAAACGCAGTATGGAAGAAGACCAACGCCAAGCTACTGGACACCGCATACCCACCGCCCTACCTCAAGGGCGTGCTTTACATGTTGTGGTATTTGCACGGCGGCGGCTTGTTTACAAAAGAGACTTTACACAGTTTTCAGTCTTGTTTGCTACGTTGGTCTGAGAAGGAGCCAAATATCACGGAGGCTACAAGGCTAGAGAAGATACAAGAGCAGGTTGGTTCTTTCCAAGATTTTCACAAGCACAGTCTATTTCTCCCAAATGCGAAACATCCGTTCAATTTTGTGCTGGTGAGGCCAGAGCTTCTAAAAGGAGTGGCCAGCCATCTCAAAATACAGGCAGAGAAAATGGTTTGGAAGCCAATTGATATTGATCCAATTGAAGCCAGCAACTCAGCAATCCAAAACCTCAGTGTCCATACACGGAACGAACGTAGCGCCTATTCCATGTTTGGGTGGGGAAAAATTGGCAGCACCGGGCATGAGTGGACTGATGATACGCCCCCCGACGATTGGAAGGATCGTGGTAGAACATTGCTTTCGCCAGAGACAATGGCGGAGATCGACCAGTTGTCATTGAATACAGCCCGTCTCCTTTATCCTGACCTTGGAGAATGTACACTTGACGATTTGAACCACACCTTTCTGGTGCATCCAGGAATTGTGCAGACCAAGAAAGCATACCATCAACGCCTTCACTATGATAGGCCCAACCCTGAAAAGGGGCGTACTTTCTTTTTGCACGTGCCTCTCACTACCGACGGCATGTTGCTGAGAATACTACCTGAGGGAAAAGATAGGAGTGAGTTCATCTTTGTACCATTTGGTTGTGCACTTGCTGTTCCAGTGAACCTTGCCCATGCCGGAATCTATGCCAAACCTGGGAGCAAAATCAAGAATAGTCGACTGCACATAGTTGTCACGGCAAGAGACGCTGTGAAGTATCATGAAAAGCTCGACGTGTTGGTATCCCTCCCAGAATCGCCGTTCCCAACTCGTCGATTTCATGACGCATTGAAACCAAACAAGGAGCAGGACCGGTTCAGCCAGATGTATGTGAAACTATTGGAGTGTATGGAGACCAAAGAACGAAATCCCCCATAATGCCATCATTATTATCAGGTATATAAAACATTTTCGACCCACATACTCATCTTTTTTGTTCAGTGGACTATGTACTCAAAATGCAGCATTTGTGTTGCGGCCAACAATAGAGACATTAATTAAGTAGAATGCGAAGCGATCGTTGAGCCAGTCCATCCCATCACAAATGTTTTGACTGGTTCGATTTATTGGAGTCCGTATCCGAAAGCAGAGGTTTTCAAGAGTCTCTGTCATTGCAGGAGAAACCCGTTTTTTCACGATGTTGTTCAGAACCCTAGCACTGGTGGGACACGAACAAAACCGCAGCAGAGCCGAAAGGTTGTTACAAAATTATGGCTTCGACATCAGCAGTATTCAGGAAAGCATCAGAGCAAGGAGCTTGCAAATTCTGATGCTGACTCCCAGTCATGATGACACTGAAGCTGCTGCCGTAGCCTTATACGAGAAACAAGATAACGCTGTCCATCTTATCGTCATTGCAACCGCTCCAAACTTTACACGCCATAGATTATGTCAGCGGCTTATCGAACGTCTTTGTATTGACAACGGAAACCCATTGTACGTCAAGACCGAGAAGTTTTCCATGTCCCACGGAATCTTCACTAGACTCGGCTTCAAGCCTTGCAGGAATGATTCACACACAACCACATCCCGGATTGATGTGGCAGGGGAAGTTTCAATTGTTCTCGGAATGAACCATTCCAATGGAACACTTCCCGAAGCTCAGTTGGAACAGGGCATAGGTAAGGAGTACCTTGAAACGTTTTTGGCAAATGCTGCCTTGCACGGCTTTCAATTTGCCGATCAAAAGGAGATTCCAGGGAGAATGTTGAGCTCGTACCTTATAACCGCCTTTCACGAAACCTCCCTGGAGTCGCTGCGAGAAATCGTGCCGCGTTTGGTGGCCAAAGACACAGCCTGGTTTCGCAACCTGGCGGCTCCGGAATACCGCAGATGGTTGAGTTTCAAGCTGAGGCTGTTATACCTGAGTCTAGCTAATGAGCAAAGCTTCAGAAAGCACTTATGGCGTTTAGGGCTCCCTGAACAATATGATGCCCTGCATTTCGCCGAAGCGGTAAACGACCAGATGCCAACGGGAGAAGGTTGGCCCAAGGAGTGTGACAGCACCCAAGACTTATCCTGCCTGGACCTGCTCCTCCTTAATACTTTGAAAATTGAGACTCGTGTCCAGTTCGTGCCCCTCGTGAGGAATTATGGAGAGCTGCTCAAGGTCGGTTTTGGCGGAGACACAATCCCCCCCAGTCGCATGGCAACGATGTTTTTTTATATGCCAGACTGGGAAGCCCCCCCAACATTCTTGTTTACTTTGCCCCTGCATCTTGCTGGTGAGGCACTTGCAATCAAGGAGACAATAGGAGAAGACAACCCATACCCACCGAAGCAGAGAAAACGAACAAGAAGCAGTTTGGGCTGCTATTACTAGTAGCAGAATATGTAATTTGTACTTAAAAGTATTAATATTTAATTTCATCTCATGTCACCCATTCGACTAAATGGATCATCAACATGTTTCTCGTTGGAACGAATTCCATCTTGCGTTTTTAGTCAACTTAGTCGCCACGTCTCAACTTCGCAGGTACACCGCAGATAAAGAGTATGTAATGCCATTTGTGTCTCCCGGTACCACAGATCTAGTACGCACCAAGTGCTGCAGTAATATTCACCTATGCTACTATCGTACCAAGTCAATCGGCCTGATAGATGATGCAGTTTCTGGACGCAAGGCAACCTCCCCCAAGAATTTTAACACACTTGGAATCACAACGTCCAATTTACACACGGACCGGCACACTTCTCGGTCTAGCGCCTGTCTCTTGCTACCATCGTCTTTCCAGCCACTTTTGAGTTCCCATTTCCACAAGGCAATTTCCAACACGGATGTAGACTCCAAACTTTCATAAAAGTGAAAGGCCGACCATGCCCTGCTGAAAGCAACAAACGCCTTGTCCTGGTCATCCACAGTCAGGAGCCTGTTCCACAGGGGAAACATTGCAGCCTTCCAATTTTTATGGCCCCAGCGCCCCATAGGACCAAAAACCCAGGGCTGCAGGACCACCTGAAGCAATACCCTGTTTTCTTGAGTCCAGTTCATCAGTAGATATTCCACATCTAGTCTGCCGTCGCCATCTTCCCGGCCGAGCACATCTTGGGGATACCCTTCCAGAAGCACCTGAAGCATAGCTTGGTCTGGGTAGATGGTTGCAAAGAGGATGTGGAACGGGGTCATTCCGAACTCATCCGTCAGCGGTAAACCATTGCGCTTTGCCTCCTCTATACACAGAGCAAGTTCTTCGACGGTGGTAGAATTTTGGTTGTAACAAAGGCGGTGAACTGGGAAATTGTTGAAGCGCTGTACCAGACCGTAAACAATACCACCCGCCTGCCCATCGAAGCGATCGTTCAAACGCGTGCAACCAAGAAAGGATTTTTCTTCGGCAGTGGACCCAGGCGGTAGCCTAAAGTTTGTAAGATCCTCGCAGGCATAGAATGCTAGAGCAGCAATCTTGATCGGCCTTGAATCTGTGGCCACTTTCACGGTGATCAAGGAAACGCAGCTACCGAATGCAAGCGAGTCGATACGACCCAATGACTTTGGCAGGCTCACAAATTTTAGGCTGCAACAATCAGCAAACACCTTGCCTGGCAAAACACCGAGACGCGTTGTTGAGAGATCGGCCTCTAACAAGGCGCTGCATCCCTCGAACGCCATACTCCCTAGCAAGTTCACAGACCGGGGGAGCGATATTCTTTTCATCAAACGGCAATGAGAGAAAGCCCCATCGCCAATCTCTCGTAGACGATTGGGCGAGGGCGACGAATGGGCAAAGCTCACCTTTGAAAGCTTATCGCAACGAGTAAATGCAGACCGCCCAATCCTCTCTACCGTGCTGCAAATCTCGACTGCCCACAGCGCACTGCATGTAGAAAACGACTTTCGACCAATCTCAATTACACCCTCCCGGAAAACGACCTCCTGCAACAGGCTGCTCCTTTTACATAGTTTCGCACAAACAGCAGTAACCCCATCCCTTAAGTCAACAATCAACCTCTTAACGCAGGACAAATCATGTCGTGTATTACCAGTGAAGCGGTGTTCCCCCCGTCCCATCATGATTGTTTTGCACAGTAAAACAAGGTCCCTATTTTGGCATTGTTCCGCCTTTTTGGCGCGCACTGGCTGGCTGGAATATTCACAACCGACAGAGACTGCAAGGTCAGCGCGCAAGAACACTGGGGTGTCTGGGTCCAACGAGTCCAGTCAAATTCAAAAGGTAGCCATTATAGGTGGCTTCTAAGGACCAGGAGGGTGCAGGGGGGATGCATTTTGGTTTTTTTGTCCACTAATGCTTCACATACCTTATTGTGGTTTGTCAGTGGGTTTCAATATATCTTCTTTCCTTACTA